AGAACGGTGCTCCCTGGGGTGGTCTGACTCCACGTTATCTTACAATGGGATATGTCTGAATGGCACCAGTGAGTCCTAGCGTGCAGCACAGGGCGCGATACTCAAGCAGAGCTCTCGTCTCCTTGTTCCAGTGCCTGGGCTCGAAAGACAGAGATTTGTCCTGAAGGTGCTGCCCTGGCGCATGCGCCAGCCTGTCCAATTACCCAGGAAATGTGAGCGAGGTGAGCTGAGAGCAGGACTAGGCAGGGGAGCAGTACATTGGACTGGCCTTTTCCCCCTCGATTAGAAGGCCCTGTGCTCCCTTCCCAGTGTGCGGGGAGGGGCTGTGGAACAGAGGAATCCAAACCCCACCATTTGCCTGGCTCCAGTCTTCCCCTTGCACCCAGCGTAGTGGTTTTTCTCAGCACACTCTTTGGAAAGGACCCATTGAATATTTTCTTCAAAGTTCCCTTCCCCTCAGGGCTGCTTGCAATCTGAATGCCAGTGCCTCAGGCCAGCATGCAGTAGAGCGTCAACGCCCCTGCTCTCAGTCCCATCTGCAGGGCTCTGTTCCTCCCTCCCGCAGGCCCCGGCGCAGGCAGACTCTCCCCAGAGCTGTGTTTATCTCATTACTGGGCTTCCGCTCATTTGGCCTTGTTTACCTTCCTTCCTTGTAAAGAAATCACGTTCAAATGTGCATCTGCAGGCTTTACCTGGCTGCAGACATTTCCCCAACTGTCTGTAATTACCCTAATTTGCCACACCTGCCAGTGACCTTCTCATTAGTGAAATTATTTCATTCTTGTTTAGCTCCTAACAGCTTTCAGGTGTAAGGTGCACGGTACTAGCTACAGGGAGGCATTGCTAGGATTCTGCTCAGTACTTTGGGCTCCGAGGGTTTTGCTCAGTTTCCTCTCCTATACCATACATCTCAGGGAACCTAATTGCTATAGGTTCCTGTAATCTGCATTAGTGCAGCTCTCCAGGAAGGAATGACACCTGTGGTCACTAATGCAGCCTGCTCTGTGGTTCAAAAGAAACCTAATTGTTTCCATAAACCGCTTGTAATTTCAGTCTGTCTGTTTCTGCTGTTGCACCATCGTGTGGAGAAAGCTGGCACTCGAGATCAGCAGGCATTGCATTGCTCAGCTCCTCTGTCCAGCCTCACCCTCTCTCAAGTACCCACTGTCCTCCTGCGCCTGGATGTTGTTCCCTGAAGTACTTGGTGATGTCTCCATGGAGAGACAGGCAGATGCACTGTCCTACCCCTTGCATATGCTGGGCAGCCATCAAGCACTCCCTGGATTTCCTCACCATTACTGCTGTCAATTGAAATGTCTCGTTAGACTGACCTCACACTTGGTAAAGCAACCCCCATCCTTTCCTGTATTTATACCTGCTCCTGTATTTTTCACTCCATGCATCTGATGAAGTGGATTCTAGCCCACGAAAGCTTATGCCCAAATAAATTGGTTAGTCTCTCAGGTGCCACAAGGACTCCTCGTTGTTTTTCCTGATACAGACTAGCATGGCTACCACTCTGAAACCTGAGCAAAGAAAGAGTTCCCCAGGCCTGGGAAAGACCCAGAGAGCTTTAGAAGCGCCCTGTCTGCTGGGAGCAGCGCTGTACTCCGGAGACCCCACCAGACTGCTACACGCTGGTTCTGACTAGCTTCGCTGGTGCCAGTTCAGAGCCTGAGCCTGTCATCCTTTCGCGTGGTAGAGTCCAAAGGACACCCCAGCAGAATCTGGCCCTTTGTAAACAACATCAACCAGGCACATCTAGTCAACAAGGACACAGACCCTAACCTCGGCTCAGCCTTAGGCTGTGTGCAGAGTTGTGAGATAATTAACTCCTCAGTTACCAGATTTCAATATTTTGCAAGACACGTTTCTAAAACACCCACCCTGCGCCATGGCTACCTTACCCTGGGACTGTTCAAATATCTGCCAGGGTGCCCGTCACAGCCCTTACCTGGGTCCTGTACAGCTTTGAGATGTGTTCTGGCAGATGAATTGAAGTGAAGTATTTAACCCTTATACTAAACATGTTAAAAAGACACAGCATTTCCATGCAAGCTTTCTGCAGGGAACCTCCCCTTCCCGAAGCAGCCATTGAGTGGATGAGCAGCACTGTGAGCTGCCTCCCAAGGGCAGAGGCATGGCCCGGGGTGAATCAACACATCCTGGAGCATGTCAGTAAACACTGCCTGAATGAAAGCAGCAGCAAAACTATCCTTTCACGTACCTGGCATCAAGGAACCTTGATCTCAGAATCATTACTGCTTCACAAGTGCTTTGTTTGAGCTGCATCTGGATGGAGCTGAATTTTCGATGGATGATGCCCACCATCCTTTCGATCTCCTTGGGAGAAATGGGACGTGTCCGACTCTGTTCTCGGAGAAGGTTCATCACGTGTGTGGTGAATTCGTTACACGCCTGTGAAGGACAGAGCAGCTCAGAGATGGTTTTGTGCTGTCACACAGGAACATAACCACTGACCTCACTGCTGTGTGAAGCCACCGAGCATTTCCTGGGTCAGGTGCATGCCACACCCCAGCTGGCGTTGTGCATGGCAGGCTCTGCGGTGGCAATGAATTGTGAGGAGCCTGCAGTAGCTATCCTCAGCCACCTCACAATGGGGGGCAATGCATGCAGGAAAAGAGGCGAGGTAGCCACAGAGTGACCCCTCCTAATTTGGGAGATCGGGATACCGTGCCACTCTCCCCCGCCCCCCGCCCTTGCTCTTAACCATCAGGGTTCCCCTCGGGCTCATCCGGCAGAGACCTCCAGGGTCCTTCACTAGCGCATAGCCCGTCTTTCCCTTGTCAGGGAGCTGAGCCGTCCTCTGATCAGCAATAATATAACGGATAGACACAGATTTGTGAATGAAAGGTTGAGTCTCTTTTCTTTTTACAGTGCCAGGGGGGTAAATAAGCTATGACTACGCTATGGCTCTTTTTACATGTAAAGAGAAATAAATCTCAAAGACGGTGTCCGTGTATTTTTCTAGGAGGGGCAGACGGGCACCGAAGTAGAAGGGTTTGCTCAGGTTATAGCATATAAATAGCAACAGGCATGAGCATAATAGTAGCTGGGACTCCATTGTTGCAGAGCAGAGTTAATAACCTAAATGTGGGTGAGGACCCTCGCCCCCCCCCCCCCCCCCCCCCCCCGTATCTTTGAAGCCCGCCTGATCCCACGACTTCCCTTCTAGGAATGCACTTCACCACTCGCACACAGCAAGTAACTGTTTAACCAGCTGTGGCAGATTATGATATTTAAATCTCTTTGATTTTACCTAGAGCAAACCCTTTAAAAGCCATAATTTCACAGAGGCCATATGCCATACAGCTGCAGGGCTCTCTGGGCCCTGGCCTCACAGTATGGCCTGAAACACTGACGAGAGAAGGTGCTGGAAGCTTTGGATTCGCATTCCCTTCTGCCTCCACAGATTAAGTAGGGAGGAGGATAGTGCGATCTAAACTTCTCAGACTGCCTCATCCAGAGCCTTCCTGAGCTGGATGTTGCTATGAACGAGCCGTTGGTGTGCTGGCATTCTGGCTGCTCCGTAAGCAGAGGCTGGGGGCTGTCACAAACTATGCTGATTTATCTGTCTGTCCTCTCGTTCAAAAACAAAACCCAGCACTGTTCTCTGCTTGAGGGAACTAAGTTACAACTACAGAACTAATCTCTTCCTAGGGAACCAGAGTGGAACTCCAGCATATTCCATGTACAAACCTGTCATTGTCCTAACCTGGCCGTAGAAAGCCAGGGACCCAGCACTGTGCCAGTTGAGAGCTGCATTTTTTAGGCATGCAAAAAATAAAGGGATGTCTGGTCCTGTGAAAGGCCTTCAAATCAAGGAGGATGTCTCAGAGGCTTTAGGTGCCTTTGCAGGTGTGCATTTTGATTATACAAGCAAGGCAGATGTAGAAAAGCAAAGTTGAGCTAGAATCACTGCCAAATATGGCCAAAGGATTTCACTCTCATGTACCCCACATACCGGGCTATGACAATGACACTCAGCAGTCACTAAATCAGGCAGAGGAAACTGCAAAAGTCTTGATCAGGATAACCATGTAACTCTCACTGTGGTGTTAGCGTCACTTGTATTCAAAAGCTGGGGTTAAGAATCACCTTATGGTTTGTTTTGCATCTAGATTTTCAATGACTAATCTGAATTTCAGGAGCCCACGCGCGGGAAAGAGTTAAAAGTGAAAAGTTTATGCATCTAAAAACTCATAATTTCCTATAACATTTGCTGAATGTCTCACAACTTATTAAGTGAAGCCATCTATGAATGCAAATGCTGATTAGCAATTTGGCAATAGCCCAACATTTGCAGAATTCACATAGCTTTTCTTTAAACCAGTAGTTCATACATGATTAATTAGAACATCTCATTTATGTAGTGTGCACTTTAGCTCATTACTCTAAGTAAAATTCGTTAAGTATTTACATTTAGATAATTAAAATCTGGGTACACCCTTAAGAAAGATGCATACACTTCAGGCAAAGTGATTTTTTTTCTTTACACTACTGAAAGTAAATTACAGGCTAATTTACGTCCTCGCTGCACGGCTTTGGAGGCAGCAGTGTGACAAGGCTCAGCTCCTTGCCTCCAAGGGGCGCAGGACTCGCTTGGTGCACAGCGCTGTGACGGCTCTTGGGCCTGGCTGAGTCTCCCTGACAATGGCTCGGCAGTCCCCGTTCGGGCTCCACGGGCACCGCTGGAGCGAGGGAGGGGAGGCAATTAGCAGGGAGCTGCATTTCCATTCCCAGGCTCTAGTGAGGCTTCCTCAGTTTGGGGTTTTATATTTGAGCAAATCTGAGCTTTGTTTTTCATTTGCACATTTTCCCTTCGCTGGGGTTTATTTTTATGGCCCGAAACAACGAAATAGCAGGGTCCCCAGTGGTTTGCCAGCTCCCCTCCTCTGGCCAACGGGGGCCAGACCTGTACCTCGGCTGGGAGGGGCAGTGCATCCTCCTGCTGCCAGGGAGAAGGAGACTGGGAACTGCTCCTCTCCTCTCTCTGGGTCACTGGCAGTTGTTCCACTTGTGAACTGGGCTGGAGACATCCCAGGGGAATGAAATATTTCCACTCATCGGGGCTGCAGGGAAGATGGACAAGGACGTGTCTCCTCCTGCTGCGCAGACCAGGCTGCGAGCCTCCTCTCCCCATTGGGGCAGGGCAGGGAGACAGTAGCAGCGGATTCCCTGCCTGCCTGCAGGGCTGCCAGGCGTGTCTGGTCTGATTCTAGTGGAAGAGCTAATCCTGGAAACCCTGTTTAACCACATACACATAGTGTCACTTGTGGCCAAGCCTGGCAAGCCAGGGCTCCGCCCACAAGCAGGCGGCACGATCGAATGGGAGACACGTTGCTATTGCCAGCCTGAAACAAACCGCAGATCCCGGTTCTCACTGTTCTGGGTCCTGCTCCTCCAGCTCTGGCATGAGTCCCCACTATGGGCTGACATGGCACATGGTCACTACCTGGGAGCACAGACACGTGCCTGGCCCTGCTTGGCTCTGTTGGTTTTGCTAATGAAAATTAAGGATTCTTGGAAACTGGACCAGAAATTTAGTTCTGCGCCAAGCGACATGGGTTCATATTTTGTAAACTTGGGCACTTGCACATGTCTGACCCAGGTGTGGTGTTCACTACCTGCCAGCATCACCCCGGGCAGAACTGATCATGCAGAGCCACTAAGTCCCGATCCTAACAGTCCCACCATACAGCCCACTGCAGGATTGGGCCCTTAGAAAACACTTAGAGCTGGATCCCAGGGAATCTTTACATTGACATCCCTGGCCTCTGGATTTGAGCCCTTACTGCCACATGTAGCATCTCCAGCAATGAGCAGACTCAGCCTTCACTGGCGCTCCTCAGGGGAATGAGCATCCACTTCTTGGTAAGAGTCTGGAAGGGTCGGTTCTGCGTTTGCGTTTCACCGGTTGGCTCCCCAGCAGGAGTAATAGTACAGATGTTTCAGAAAAAACATTTTTACCCATCTGACTGTTATTCAAGAAGCTTTCGTTCATCGGGTAAATAACACAGGTTGGTAAGTAATGTATGTACCGAAATGCAGCATCTCTTTTCCTGAGACAACAGGGGGGCTCTGGTTTCCCTGAAAAATACTTGGCACTGAGAAAATGTCACGGGCACAACACTTGCCACCTAATTGCATCGTTATTCACAGGATTTGGGGTGTTTTTTCCAAAGCCCTGTATGAATGGAAACGGTTGCAGTGAAAATATTTTCAGGCATTTTTTCCCCATGAAAATATTTCTGCCCCAAAATGGTGTTAAACTGCCCTCCAGAAGGGTCAGATAATTCACTCTCTTCACCAGATCTGGCCATCTCAGAATGAGGCTGCTAAGGGGCGGCTGTGAGATCGGTGTGTTTAAACCAGGAAGACTGAACACACACAAAGGTTCTGTTTAAAAGCTGCAGTGAACGTCCTGCTTTCAGGAGACGAGAACCATCCCATGCTTGGGAAAGGCTCGCTGCTTTGGAGCTACAGAAAGGGCCTGATTCCAATTTCCCTCTCGCTAGTGTGCACCATTTAACTGCTGGGGAGTTACTCCTGAATCCCAGGGGTGGGCATAAGAGCAGACGAATGTGCCACATGGTCTTGTTCTCTCACGTTTAGTTACAACATCCAAGCTACTTGAGCCATTTCTTGCTACTATTTTTCAGGCCTCTTGGTGCCCTGCACATTACTAATAAGGTCAGGTTGTAAGGGCTGGCCTCATTAACCTGCTCAGAAACCCCACAGAAGCAGAGAATGCCTCAGCATGCTTTAATGCTTAATCAAGAGTTCTCGGAGTGCTCAAAGACAAGAGAGAGACTGGCTTAGTTCAGCGGCTGGACAGCCATGCCCCAAACAATATTCTGCACTAGGCCGCACTGCACCCGGGCGAGTTCTCAGCACGCTCGGTGGCACTTGTCTGGAGTCCAGGCTTCACCCTGATTTGGGGTGAATTCAGAAGACATCTGTGAACTCGGAAAGCAGGTTCCCAGCTGCTCGGGGAGGCTTGGGACCCTTACAATACTTTTGCCTACAGCAAAAATGTATTTCAGTGTAATTATAGAAGATAGCTTTCAATATGTCATCTCTATTATAGTGGCTGTAAATTATGGAGAGAACTGCCTGCGTTCAACCATTTCTCCTGCCACAAGGCAAGGGGGGGCTGCTCCTGGCATGACACACTTTCCTTTTTTTTTTTTTAAGTGCAGTCCCCTCACTGGCAACACATGTCAGAATCAAACTCTGTCTGGGAAATGTCTGCACAAATGGCACTTTGGTCTCTGCTCCTGGGTGCAAAGAGCCCCTGGAAGTAGGGTGACCAGATGTCCCAATTTTATAGGGACAGTCCCGATATTTGGGGCTTTTTCTTATATAGGCTCCTATTACCCCCAGCCCCTGTCCCGATTTTTCATACTTGCTGTCTGGTCATCCTACCCGGAAGGTTCGCAGGTAGCGAGAAATGGCGACATGGACGGAGCCCTTTTTGGAGCAGCCGCTCTCATGGAGTAGGCCTGCCCAATCCTTGTGCCTGAACCATGCAGTGGGAGCTATGTGGGTCCGCTTCCTCTTTATCTGTAGGACAGTAACAACCTTTCCGAAACTTGCAGCCAGGGAGGAGAGGGAAGCAGTCCTGGGTGCCTCTCGGCTGTGGAGACCGGTCCCGTTCTCAAGGCGAACGGGTTGCTGCCAGGCTTGGGAAACGATCATATTTCTGGAGAGCAGACAGTGCTGGCGTCAGGCTCAATGGGGGAAAAGATGCATGTTTCGGATCAGCTCTGCCTCTCTCTCCTAGCGGCACCTGTGCAGCCTGCTCTGGTTCCTGGGGTTTGGACAGATGGCTGTGGCATTTCGGCTGAAACCTTTGTAAATGGAGCTAGTCACCTTTCCTGGCCCCAGTCGTTACACTTATTACAGCCAAAGAACACTTGCCAGGAACGAGCGATTAGCACAACCATGGGATTAATTTCAGCCCCAAATCCAGCTCCAGCCTCTCCCCCTGGGATTTTATAAGGGGCTTTAATTCACTGCTGGGGCGGCTGTTTGTTAATTTGATGAGCATCGCTACCTACGCAGCATAAAGAGATGTATTCGTCAGAGCGTCGCTGCCCAGCACAGTGTGGGGAAGGGTTTGGGGACTTGCACAGGTTGTTTCTTTATGGAGGAAAAGGACCCTTGAGCAAAGTCACTGTCAGTCACTCACTGAGTCCTCCGGCACTGTAATGACATAGTGAAGGATTGCTGGCCGCAGATAGGACTAATGGCCAGTGTGTGAATAGCCCTGGCCTTGAGCCATAGCAACAAAGGTTCTGTCCACATTTCCAGCAGAACGTGGCCTGCACTGCACCGTCTGGGGAAAGCATCCAACCCGTGTCCCCAAACGCCTCCTCAGCTGTCCACATGACACAACTCCCTCCCCACCACCCAGCTTCCTGTCTGCTCCCTGACACCCAGACGTGTGCTGCTGATCCGAGACCTCCGGGAGTCTCTCAGAGGGGGCCTGGCTGCATCTTAGATTCCAGAGCTTGTGAGATTTGAATGATCTCAACTCAGCGGCAATCGGTGTCAAGCCAAGAGGCTTCCAGAGCTAGTGGGCCTTTCAGCGACTGTTTGGTTGTAAGAGATGGGGCCTCATGGAGAGACCCGGGGAAAAGAGAGGGGCCGATGGGCAGGCTGGGGGACTATTAGAAGGCTCGGAAAGAGGGACTCTGGCTGCCCCTGCAGACGTATTGATTGGCGGCGGGGAGGCTCCAGGAATCTGTTAGAGACAAAGAAATCCAGAATGTTGAATAGGCGTGTGTGCGGCTCTGGAGCAAGAACCTGCAAGGAGCAAGGACTGTCCCGCCGGCTCGTCTGGTCAGGTTGCTCAGGGCAGTGGGCAGTGCGCACACAAAGCAGCAGGACCAGCTGTGCTGTCTGCCTGTTGCCTGCTGCTCCTACCTGAAGATCCCACCAGTGTCCAACGTGGCAGATCATGGCATTTCAGCCGGTTGGCGTGCAAGTCAGCCACAGATTCTGCCAGAGCGTGGCCCTTACTGTCAATACCTTTCCGGGAGACTCCATTAACTCTTCCGTGTTTTCTTTTTTGTTAATTACCTTCGTAAAACAGGAAATTAAACTAGCCCAAGAGCCTCTGTGGGGTTAAAATGCAAGGTCTGAGCATCCTAAAGCCAAGGACCCCGGCTGGGAGACAAGCAAGTCCCCTCCCATGGCTAAGCCCCAGCAGAGCAGACTGGGGGAACTTGCCAAGCCACAGCAGAGCAGCTAAGAACATAAGAACGGCCGTACTGGGTCAGACCAAAGGTCCATCCAGCCCAGTCTCCTGTCTGCCGACAGTGGCCAATGCCAGGTGCCCCAGAGAGAGTGAACAGAGCAGGGAATCCTCAAGTGATCCAGCCCGTCGCCCATCCCCAGCTTCTGGCAAAAGAAAGGCGCCTGAGCAGCGCTGTGATTTCCTTTGCTGTCGTGCTTTCAAGTGGGATTTTTACCACTGCCTTATGGTCTCGGTTGTGGTTTCATTTTGTTCAGAGGGACGCTTCACAGTAATGTGCTGGGGTGAGCCCAGAACTTCCCCACCTTCAGCTCAGGAAACCACCAGCTGATTAGGTTCGTTGAGCTCATTAGGTTCAGGGTTTATAAGCTTTACTAGGACCTCTCTGGAGGGAGAAATGAAGCCATTATGGCTGAGGCTGGCAACAGCCAGGGGTCTGTTTTCTTCCCTTTTCTTCTCCTGCCCCCCACCCTTCCAGCTCCTTAGATTCAAAGTTGTCCAGTAAAGAAACACAAAGGAGAATCACTCTCCCTGGTGGCTCTGCAGGCTGGTCTCAGTGCACAGTCCCTGCCACGCTGGATGCATGGGGGCAGGGAAGCCACACTGCTCTGCACAAGAGCAGAATGCAGGTTTTTAAAGATTTCCCCCACAAGAACAGCATGTCACCAGGTCCCGGAGAAGAACCCGCAGCCCTGAGGATCTGCAGAGGATTATTTATATCATGTAAAAATACTGAGAGCAAATGTCAACCTTAAAAGGTTTCACCATCAACTTAATTTGCATATTTCTTATTATTATGAATAATAAATTATCATCTTAAATTTATATAGTGTATTTCATCCTGAATAATCCTGTAGTGCTTTATATCATCTACATGGCTATAGTTTATAGAGAGAAAGATACAGATTACCATACCCAATTGAAACTTCAGGCAGAATTTAGAGAGGAAGAATATATTTGCCCAGGACGCTCAAGCTAATGCTCTAAATCTTGCAAACAATGCCATGAGATCTTCAAAACCACAAGTGGTCAGGACCTCTGAAAGACACCACCTCCAGCAGCAGGGGCCACCTAGCACCATGCTAGAGTCTTGGATTCACTGCCAACTCCGAGGAAGATTGATACCTATTAACTCACCAACACCATTTCCTGTTTCTCAACCATCACCCAGGCAAGTACTAGCCTAGGCCTGACCTTACTTAGCGTGTGAGATCTGATAACCTCTCCAAGTGCTATGGCTCCCAGCCAGCATGTGCATTTTGGCTCACTGAAGCACTGATTTTACTAGGGTTCATTACAGGCTTACAAAGTGGCACTATTTAACGTTCCCCCTTTTCCTAAGGGTACATCGAAACAGGGATAAAAGCCCTGTGGCACAGCTGCAGCTGGCCCAGGTCAGCTGACTCAGGCTCACAGGGCTCAGGCTTAGAAGCTAAAAATCTCTGTGCAGACATTTGGGCTCAGGCTGGAGGCGGAGATCCGGGACCCTGCCCCCTTGCAGGGTCCCAGCTTGCTCCAGCCCGAGCCCGAGTCAGCTGACCCAGGCCAGCTGTGGGTTTGTTATCCCTGTGTAGACACACCCTCAGAGTCCCCTAACCGAGCAGTTTCTAGGATGTTTTCAGTGTGCACCCAGTCAGAACAGTGGGGAAGAACAGATAAGAACCAGGCCTGCCAGCCAGCCTGGTCATTGCCACCGAGCTCCGCCCACAACATCAGCCCTTTCATTCGACTGCCCAGCTCTTTAACCAGAGAGAGAGAGAGAGGTAATTTTTAAGCCCTATAGAGAAACAGGAACTGGTTAGCAGAGGTGCAGAGACAAGTGGCAGCAGGTCCACATAGGGCTGTGAGAGCGATGTCTGACCTGTTCATATTTCTCCAGCTCTGTGTGATAGATTTGTCTGATCTGGGTCAATTTGGCTCTGTAATCTGAGTGTTCGATAGAGTTATCTGAGGACCCTCCAGAGGCTGCTGCGGCTGCGGCTGCTGCTGCCGATCCCCCACCTTTCTCAGGACCTGAAACCCCTTCTGCCAGAAGCATATTGTCCAGTCTCATTAGCTGGGGATCGGGAGGGTCTTCCTCCTGGGCTCCTCGGATGCTCAAACCTTGGGTAAAAAAGAGAGAGACAGACAGAGAAACCACAGTGAGTATTTCCCATGCCCTGGCGAGCTCCTGCCTGCAGCCAGCCCCACTCCCGGGGGCGGGCTGGACCAGTCATTGTAATATTTTACAAAACCATTCTCTGCTGGGAGAGACATTGATCCCTAGGCGTGAGGGTGGATAACGGCTCTGTCCCCATCACCATGATGGCCTAAGAGGTCCAAGCCTCCCCCAGCCCTAAGGAAAAGTCGTATAGAATTTAGCAGAAATAAAACCAATAGGGCTGTATAGAAATTACTCTGAAAACCCACTGAATTTAACAGAGGATGAGAGACTTGTCACAGAACTTTTCAAATACCCTATAGATTTTTTTAATTCTTTACTGTAAATATGACAGGAATATACTCATACATGATGTTTTCCTTTATTTTTCAATAACATACCTAAATCTAAGCACTACTTATTTAGTAATATCACACGGATAGAAGAACATATGGTAGGAGTAAGTTTGTGTTATTTATTTGTCTGAGGTTCGTGGTGTTCTTGCTGAGACTTGCTGGGCAGAAATCTATCCCTGCTACAGGATCCAAAGGGTTAACTGGAGTGTCTGCGGAAGGGGTAGCATTCTCGACTGAACTCCAGGGGACTTCCCATAAGAGTAAATCGGTGCTATAACTCCCAGTGGTGTCAACCAAATATACCTGCGGGGGAGCCACCCTCCAAAGGGCAGCGAGCTCCTGCAGTGCATCCAACCCCCTCGTGGAAGGTTTAGGCGTTACAAGGGCAGCAGCGGGGATAGAAGTGAGGGCAAGATAACAGAAGTGCCTCTTCACGAAAAGCTGAGGGTGATGGGACCCCAGCATGCCCTCCTGCACACAGCCCTGCCATGCAGAACACTGCACCACTCTGGAGCTCACATGCAGATTTAAACACGAAATATAAACAAGAACGAATGATGCCTTCTCTTACCACCCAGGCATTTAACTGCAGTCAGGATGCTGAGATGCTAAACATGGGTTTGAAATTGCCGGCACTATTACAGTATGTTGGTGGGAACAACACTTTAAACCTAATTTCTGTTTTAAAATTAGACCATCCAAAGTGATGCCCAGTCAGCAATCTCATCTGAGTGCTACAGATCAAGGCTGACAATTTGTAGGTTTAATCAGGGCATGCAGGCACTCTGCCAAGATGATATCAACAATGCTGAAAACAAAGTTTAAAAATAATTACACTAGTATAAAAATCACTAGAGCCATTGCTTCTCGAATCAGCACTTCTATTAAAGATGTAACACAACCAGCGATCTCCCAGCCCAATTAACCTCTTTAAATCTGTTTAAAACCAGGTATTCACACACTAGTTAGACAAGATCCCAGTGGGTAGGAAGTTGGCACCTCGCATGTTTGCATTCTGATTCTGCCGTCTGTGTCTGCGCCTGTTCTTAGTTACACACAGTGGTGCACACTCTGTGTAAAGTGCAGCGGACATAACAATAACATCCAGAAACTGCCAAGTGTTCCGCTGAGTACCAGCAATGCTATTTTCTAGGCTAGCCTCCGTGCAGCCCACACTCTTTTAGAAACAGATTTGATCCCTTGATGTCCTGAACTCCACACACTGCATGACACGACCCCGCATTGGCCAACCTGCCAGGCACAAGAAGGCACAGCTTTAATTTCACTCTAAGACACACATTTTAAACCTGTCACCTTCATTTAAAAATATAATTCCATATAATTTAATTGGGACAATAAAAATGTCTCATTGTCATTTTAAATTATTTCTGTTGCCTGTTCGGAGGTTGAACAAGGTTTGAAAATATAATGTATTATCATCATCCACTCACTGACTGAGCCCAAAAGTTAGCACCAAGAACCGTGTGGGTCAAAGAACTCTGAAACAGGAGTCCAGACAGCTTTGCCTCTTTCTTCTGGCATTTACCCGTTCACGGACATCAACGTTACCAGCTCAGCCTCGCTCAAGCCAATACACCTGCTTAGCTCATGGAAGTGTCTTAGAATTAAGATTTGGCAGGTTTGTTATGTGTGTGTCTGTCAGCAAAAGAAAGTGCAACAGGTCAAAGAGACTAGAGGAAAGAAGAACAGAGAGAAACTAATTTTCCTTGGATATTCTCTTTCTGATTTGTACAAAGAATTTTTTCCCTACTGAGGTGATTGTCCTTTTTGTTGTCTTTTCCCTCTCTCCCTTCCAGCCTGGCTTTTAATGTTTTTGAACAGCGTTCTGGTTTTCTAACCCTCTCCCGTTTACATTTTCAATTGTTTCCTTCTAAATACCCATTCCTATTGTTATTTCTTTGTTCTTTGTCTCCTGTTAGTTTCTTTTCCTGTACTTTCCCCCAGCGGCTGTAGAGTCTTATGGCCTACAATGGTCTTTATTCACCGTCAGAGATTTCAATAGTGGTTTCACTCATCTCCCGACAGTTAAACACACGGGACCAAATTCTCCGCTCAGGTAAATGGGCCCCACTCGTCTGGCTTCCTGGTCCTTGTACTTTGGAGTATGGGCCAAAGAGTAAAAATTTCTGCACAAAATGACTGTGTGTTTCTAGACTGAGACTAACACAATTACTGAGCTTCCTGGTAACAACATGCCTAAGAGGAGACAATGCTCCCTGGTTTTAAATAAATACAAAAGCAGACCAGCTGGAAGGAGGGTTAAAGGAGTCAATGGAAGAAAGAGCCCCCCTTCCCCTCCCCAACACAAGAGGAAGGAATGTAGCAGCAGACACCGAAAATGACCAAGCTGCCAGAGTCTGCAGCTCACAGTCCTAATATACTGTTATAACGCAGGTAACACCGGGAGTGGCAAATTGTTTTCTTCCTAGTGGGAAGTAATATGCGTAATTCCAAAGCAGAGATACATACAGCCCAGAGAGTGGATGTCTGACAACACACAAAGAAATGGGAAAGAAAGGGAGGTAACATACCACGATCTAGCATTCATTTTGCTACTGAGTGAGTTCCATCGTTCATGTGAATGGCAAAGCCATGAGTTAATTAACTAACTCCTACAAGAGTTAACCTTGTGTGTGGGGATAAATGTGTTAATCCTCCCTAGTTACTTTATGAATTATATGCATCAAATCAGCACAGAATAAGTAGGAGATTGTTTTCCTTTAAGGGGAAAAAGCAGGGAACTCTTTGTATTCTGTGTAACCACACTGTTTAGGAACACTGGAGTTACAAATCATCCAATCGGTTCCCCTATCATATATGTAAGTGAATCTGATAAGAAAGATCCAGAACACTTCCTGGATTCTTTAGTAAGGAGAAAACACTTTTCTTTATCCACGGGGCATCCGTTTGTTCTCACCTAGCACCTGCCTTTATAAATTACTTTCCATTTGAATACAGTGATAATATATGTATTTTCTGACATATAAGCTCAGACTCTGGGGCTATTGTTTCCCTTTTTTATTCCTCAGTATATCAAACTATGAGTTTATTACTGTTTAGCTCACTGACCTTTCAATGCATGGTGGAATTAAGGTACAGAGCAGACTAGAAAGAACACAATAATACATCACTTCCAGAACAACTACAGATGTACTAATGGCACAGGAAGTGTAAGGTCTTAGCCAGACAGTAATAACCTAGCCGTGCACTGACCAAAAGGCGAATACTTTCACCTTAATATGGCAGCTAGAATGGTGCGTTTTTAAAGCACTTTGCAGGTTCCCTTTGTATAAAATCACAGAACTGTTGGGCTGGAAGGGACCTCAAGAACTCAAGTCCCCAAGAAAACCTAGACCATCCCCAACAGGTGTTTGTCCAGCCTGGTCTTAAAAACCTCCAATGATGGGGATTCCACAACCTCCCTTGGACGCCTGTTCCAGAGCTGAGCTCCCCCTAGAGTTAGAGAGTTTTTCCTAATATCAAACCTAACTTTCCCTTTCTCCTTGTCCGATCCTCAGTGGACATGAAGAATACCATCCTCTCTAAAACAGCTCTTAACATGTTTGAAGACTGTTATCAGCGCCTCCCCCCAGTCTTCTTTCTCAAAACTAAACATGCCCAGTGTTTTTAACTTTTCGTCATAGGTCAGATTGTCTATATCCTCTAGCATTTTTGTTGCTCTCCTCTAGACTCTCTCCAGTTTGTCCACATCTTTCCTAACATGTGGTGCCCAGAAGTGCACACTCCAGTGGAGGCCTCACCAGGTCCAAGCAGAGTGGGACAATTACCTCCCGCGTCTAACACTCCTGTTACGTAATGTGCTCAGTAATATCTTCTTATGCACATATGGGTCCGTATAAAGTTTAAAAATCTAGTATCCTTGGTGACATTAGAGCATTATAAGGTTAACAAAAAGCATGTTTGCTACTGATTTTAATCTGCTTATAACCACAACATTCATTTCAGTATCTCCACCATTTTTAGACAAATCACATAAACAGACACTAAAACGTTGTTTAACAATGAACTTGGCTTTGTTATAAGACCACAGTTTTAGCATATCTTTCAGCAAATCCTAATTAGCTGTCTTTCTACATGCTGTGCACCTGCCCCCACAGATAATAGACGAGAGCATCTGCATAGACTGCTGCATTCAGAGGCCAATAAATAAATTGCAGGTCAAAATTATTACAAAGCTTTCTTCGAATAAACCCATCTTCTTCACAATAGAAAGCTGCAGATATGAAAAGTACCTAAAGCCCACTCAAATGGTATGATTACAGGGGCCGTTTGAGTTTAATAATCTGACTCTAATTCAGGCATTTTCAACAGCTCATTAAGGGTTCATTAATATATGGGCAAGCTTTTGAATTATAAATAAGCAGATTAGAAACCTGCAGTGTCTGAACTGTACAGTACTATCCTGACTAACTGAATAATATTGCCAACACAATGAAGGCTTGACCCTTGGGGCTGGCCTCCACCTCATGATTCCTCCATCTTCTTTATTTATTCATTCCCTCGTTCCAGTTGGGAAGAAGGGTCTCTCCTGAAGTTCTTGGTGCTTAGATGGATATTTTGCAACA